CCTGCTCTGTCTCTGTCTCTCTCTCTCAGAAATAATAAAATAAAATAGCAACAATCTTTTTTCTTAACGCTTCAAAGTTTCCGTGTGTCATGAATTCAGACATAACAAGGGCATAACAAGGGCACCTTGTCACCCCTCTAGAATGACTGAGATCTCTTTTGGGAAAACTCCAAAGGCTAGTGCTGAAATCATCTGAAGGTCTGTGTACTTCCCTGTCCGGCGGTTGATGCTGGCTGTTGGCTGGGACACCTAGTTGGACCGTCAGTGTGCACGCCCGCAATGCGGCTTCCCCAGGGGCTCTCCCCACATGAACAGGCTCGGGCTGCCTCACAGCATGGCTGCTGAGTTCAACGTGTGAACATCCCAAGACGGGTAGAAAAAAGTGGTGTCACCTTTCAAGACGTGGGCTTGGAGGTCAAATAGTGTTCCTTCTGCTATACTCACACACCCACCGGGATTCAAGGGGAGAGAACACTTGGGGCGCCTGGTGGCTCAGTCGACTCAAGCATTGGACTCTTGATTTCGGCTCGGGTCATGATCTCACAGGTTCGTGGGATGGAGACCCGCCGCCAGCACGGGGCCTGCTTGGGATTCTCTCTCCCTCTCTCTCTGCCCCTCCCCGTCTCTCCCTCATGTGCGCGTTCTCTCTCCCTCTCTGAAAATAAATAAATAAAACTTAAAAAAAAAAGAACAGGAGAGAGAACATAGACCCCCCACCTCTTGATGGGAGAAGTCTCCAAATCAGATTGTAAGAAGAGCTTAGGTTAGGATATCTTCTGGTGCCCATATCTGGAAAACAGGATCTGCCATAGTACCAAGTAAATATTTGTTGATTAATGTCCACTTTATGCTCTCAACTTCTTTCTCCACCTCCCTGCTTTGCTACAATTATATGACTTGGGAAAACTTATTGTTATCAGTAGGTTCTCCAGAGAAATGGAACTAACAGGATACAAATATAAACATATATATGTGTGTGTATATATATATCTCACACATATATATACACACACATATATATACATACACATTACACATATATACATATGTATAATACACACACACACACACACACACACAGATATTTATTTTAAGGAACTGACACAATTGTGGAGGCTGGCAAGTCTGAAACTCGTAGGGCCAGAAACTCAGGCAAGAAATGATGTCACAGCCCATAGTTTGAAATTCGCAGGGCAAGCCAACAGACTGGAAACTCAGACAGGAGTTCACGTTGTAGTCTTGACCCTGAAACCTATAGGACAGGCCAGCACGCTGGACACTCAGATAGCATTCCTGTGTTAAGAGTCTGGAGGCAGAATCCCTTTTTCCCCCCCCGGCAAAACCTCAGTTTTGCTCTTAAGGCCCTCCGCTGATTGGATGACACCCACCCACGTTATGGAGGGGAATCTGGTTTACTTATTTATTTTTAAATGTTTATTTTTTAATTTTGAGAGCCAGAGACAGAGCATGAGTGGGGGAAGGGCAGAGAGAGAGGGAGACATAGAAGCTGAAGCGGGCTCCAGGCTCCCAGCTGGCAGCACAGAGCCCGACACGGGGCTTGAACCCACAAACGGCGAGATCATGACCTGAGCCAAAGTCGGACACTTAACCGACTGAGCCACCCAGGTGCCCCAAATCTGGTTTATTTAAAGTCAACTGACTGTAGGGGCGCCCGGGTGGCTTAGTCGGTTAAGCGTCCGACTTTCGCTCCGGTCATGATCTCGCCGTTCGTGGGTTCGAGCCCCGTGTCGGGCTCTGTGCTGACAGCCAGCTCGGAGCCTGGAGCCTGTTTCAGTCTGTGACTCCCTCTCTCTCTCACCCTCCCCTGCTCACGCTGTCTCTCTCTCCTAGAAATAAATAAAACATTAAAAAAAAAATTAAAGTCAACTGACTGTAGATGTTAATCACATCTACCAAATATCTCTACAGCAACATCTGGAATATCTGACCAAACAAGTGTGGGGCCCTAGCCTAGCCAAGTTGACACACAAAATGTAACCACCACACTTAGCCTCTGTGATCCACCTCTCCCCCTTCGAAATGAAGATCAAAGTCTCTTACAAGGCCACTGGTAAGGAGACATAAGAACTGATGTGTGGTAGGCAGTCTGTACAATGGCCGCCATGCTCTCTGTCTCCTGGTATTCATGCTCTTGTGTGCTCCCCTCCCCTCAAGTGAAGGCCGGACCCGTTGACTCACTTTCAATGAACAGAAATAGAATACGGAATTAGGCTATAGAAAGACTTGGTTTCCATCTTGCCCACCCTCTTTTGCTTTCTTGCTCAATCACTCTGAGGGAAGCCAGCCGCCATGTTGTGAGCTGCTTCTGGGGACGGCCACGTGGTGAGGGAATGTCTGTAGCCAATGGCCGGTGAGGACCTGAGGCCACTAACAGCCACATGAGTGAGCTTAGAATTCCCGCGCCCACCCACCCACCTACCCCCATAAAGCTTGTGACTCTGGTCAACATCTCGATCACAGCCTCACCCAGTTAAGCTACAACCAGATTCTACAGCCAGATTCCTGACCCGCAGAGACTGTGACATAATAAACATGTTGTTTGGGGTGCCTGGGTGGCTCAGTTGGTTAAGCGTCCTACTTTGGCTCAGGTAGTGATCTTGCAGTCCTTGAGTTTGAGCCCCACGTGGGGCTCTGTGCTGACAGCTCAGAGCCTGGAGCCTGCTTCCGTTTCTGAGTTTCTGTCTCTCTCTGCCCCTTCCCTGCTCATGCGCTCGCTCTCTCTCTCTCTCTCTCTCAAAAATAAATAAACATTAAAAAATAAACAGGGGTTGTTTTCAGCCTCTAAGTTATGGGAGTAATTTGTTATGCACCGATGGATAACTATCATTATAGTTACTATTTTTTTTCATTATAGTTACTATTATAACTATCATGTTATATGGGTGATAAGTGCCTAGCACACTCCTTGGCATACAGTAGGTGCTCCATAAATGTAATTGGAATCTGATTCTTTTTTAAAAAAGATTTTTTTTTAATTTTTAAGTACTCTCCACACCCAGCATGGGGCTCGAACTCACAACCCTGAGATCAAGAGTTGCACGCTCTACCAACTGAGCCAGCCAGGTGCCCCTGGGACCTGATTACAACTGAGCTATGGCTTCATGTGAAAGTTCTTCCCGAATAATTTGCAACTCCTCAGAAAACTCCATTCCAAATGCCTTTGGTCACCAGAATTTTCTAGCAAGCTAATTGCAGGGACGTTCCTTTTGAGACCACTTGAGGTAATCCTCAGTTTTGATTCCAGGTAGGGTTGTTTTTCTCTCCCTCTTGAGAAAGAAACTACCAGCTGAGGATGCTTCTGGTGCAGGGGGGTGGCACCTTCCTCAGGATAAGAATCTGTATTGACAACAACAAATACCTACAGAGAAGGCACTAGAGAAACAGTGAGGAGCAAACACCCAGTGTCCCTGATTTCAGAGCATTCACAGGCCAATGAAGAGGCTAGTAAATAACGCCACCAATGGAAATATAATTACAAGCAGATACCAGTATTCTGCAGGGAGAGGATCTGTAAACTAAGAAACGGACCTCGACTAGAGGGCTCTGGGGAATTTCTTGGAGGTCGGGGGACCCGCAAGCTGAGATCTAAGGACAAATGGGCATGAACTAGACGAAGAGGGGACGGGAAAAGCATTGCAGACTGGAGCAGCATGTGCAAATGTCCTGCAATGGCAGGTAATATAGTGTATTTGAAAACTGATAAAAGATTGGTGCGCGACTGGAAGACAGACAGGGAGGGGGACAGGGAGAGAGAGAGGTCGGCGTGGTGGGCAGGGGACAGACTATGCCGGCCTTGTATGTAGTAAGTAAATCAGAGTGAGGGTTTGGATCTTTGTTTGGAAAACAATGGGAAGCCACTGGAGAGTATAAGTGGGGATGTGCTAGCAGCTGGGACCAGAGAGGAAGCTGTGCACGTGATAGACGGGAGGCCTCAGCTGATGTAGAACCGGCCCCCGCCCCCCCCCCCTCCTTCCCAGTGGAGACCAAAGCCCAAAAGCATGAGGCAATGGAGGCGATATAAACAGATCTAAGGTCAAGTTCTGGATGTGCTTCTTACCAGCTGTGTGACCTCTGGGCAAGTGACTAACCCTCTCTGTGTTTCAACATCCTCATATGTAAAGGCCTACTTTTCGGGGCTCCGGTGCAGATCACGTGAGATAGGTCTGGCCAGCGGCTGGCATAGAGCTGGGCAAGGTGCCGCCTCCCCCCTACCCTGCACCGTGTCCTGTGCTCCCTCACAGACGTGTGACAAAATTCTGACCGCGATAATTTACTTTTTGCTACAACCGACATCATGTGTACTTGCTGTGCTGGTTGAGACTATTCAATTCTGCCACTGAAGACAAGGAAGCAGTGGGACAGATGAAATTTGTCACTGATAGGGAAGTTCATAAGCTGGGGGAACGTCAGGCCGATAAGGTAGAGTCTATGGGTGAACATAGAAAGAGGTGGAAGGACCAAGAGATTCCTAATATTCATGAGGTACTAAATATACAAGAGGCATGGAATATTCATGAGGCGCTAAATATATGGAAGGCACCTGAGGCACTAAATATTCATAATAAACTAAATATACATGAGGCGTGTGAGGCACTCAATATCCAGCCACCCATCGGTAACACGCATTCCGGCCCCATGTGCCCCGCGCCCGAGAAATGCAAATAGCCTCCCTGGCTGCTCCTCCGGCTAATTGGCGAAGCGCAGCCGTGGCCGGGCCCGCTGTTCCTGCATCTCTCTGATAGAGCATGCGTGTGCGCCGGCGGCCCCAGGCCCCTGCCGGGCTTCTAGAACCCTCCAACCTCACCTCTGGTCTCGTACCCACGCGGTCAGTGCGGAAGGCCGACGGAGGCAGCGCAGAGAGACAGAGCACGGCCTGGATTCGGACAGTGTGGTCCCTCTGTCCGCGTGTACCCTGTCCTAAGTATGGGAACATCCCCGATCTCTCCCTCCCTCTCTCTCTCTCTCTGTTTGTTTCTCACCGTGTGTCTCCGGTTGCTTCGCTGCACCGCGTGATTCAAGCTCTTTATTTCGGTTCGTGAGCCTTTCTTTCCCGTGATCTCTGGGACAGCTTGCCTGCAGGTGTCCTTGGGGCCCACGGCTGCACGGAGGTGAGGTCCCACCTGGCCACCGAGGGACGCCGGAGAATGACACTGTCCTGGCGCCGCGTCAGATGCAACATTGTCCTGAGCGGCGGAGGCCGGGCGGTGGGAGGCGTGGGAGCGCGGCGTGGCGTGCGTCAGGCCCGCCCCACGGAAGTCCTGCTCCTCGGCGACGGGCGAGTGCGCACCGATGCACGCCGGGCCGCGCGGCTTGAAGAGTGATCGCCGGAGGGGCCCGTAAAAGACCCCCAACGACTGGTGTGGGGAATTACTTGTGCCGGCTGTGCACTTGTTTCCTGCCGTAGGAGATTTCTATTCCCTTCAAGTATGTGAACGAGAATTCCCAAATTGGAAAACGGACCCCAAACACCCATAGGTTAAGACTCACTGTGGCGGGTGCTGGTAATAAATGGTCCCCTAAATTCTCAGTGACTTAATACAGCAAAGATTGATCTCTCACAAGGCGCACAAGGTGCCCATTTGCGGTTGCTCAGGGGTCCTCCTTTGTCTGGCCCTCACTCCAGGACACAGGCTGATGGGCCTCTATTTATTTATTTGTTTCTATTTATTATTTGCCTCTATTTACTATTATTTATTTATTTTTAAGATTCTTTAAAAAAAATGTAAGTTTATTTGTTTTGAGAGAGAGAGGGAGAGGCAGGGAAGGAAGGAGAGATTCCAAGCAGGCTCTGCGCTGTCAGCGCGGATCCCAATGTAGGGCTTGATCTCATGAACTGTGAGATCATGACCTGAGCTGAAATCAAAAATCTGACGCTTGAGGCACCCTGGAGGCTCAGTTGGTTGAGCGTCTGCCTTCAGCTCGGGTCATGGTATCACAGTTCATAAGTTCGAGCCCCACATCAGGCTCTGTCCTGACAGCTCAGAGCCTGAAGCCTGCTTCAGATTCTGTGTCTCCCTCTCTCTCCGCCCCTCCCCTGCTCACTCTCTGCCCTTACCCTGCTCACACTCTGTCTCTCTCTGTCTCTCTTTGTCTCTCTCAAAAATAAATAAACACACACACACACACACAAAAAACAATCCACTGCTTAACCGACTGCGCCCCCCAGGCGCCCCAGTGGGCTGCTATTTAGAACATTGCCATCTATTGTGACAGAGGGGAAACAAGTTCACCTCCTGCTCAAAACTCTTTGGTTACAACCAATCAGTCACATGGCCCCAGTCAGCCCCAGCGAGCCAGGAAGCGTGGTTCCTCCATGTGCCTGGAAGGTGGGCAGCCAGAAACATCTAGCTCACATCTCTGATTTGACTTCCAGAGCGCCTCCACCTGTATGTGCAAAAACTCAAGGGCACAGAAGGGTTTGGGGATGAGGGCGTCCTTCCTGGGCTGTAAGACCCAGACCCCAGAGACCACCTTCAGAATATACTCTGAGGTTCTCCGACACCACAAACATCCCTACAGACTTCCTTCTGTGTCGTCCGCCTCCACCAAAGCATTTATCCCAGGCTGAGTGGAGAAGGCGGCTGATGATTATCAAAAAAGACAGTCTCTGTCTTCTGGAGTGACACGGGCAGTGGCCAGAGGGGAAGGAAGGTTCTGGGAAGAAAGGTGATGAATGGAAGGACATCCAGGCAGCCCCGTCAACTTGGCATGACCTTTCCAATTCAACTCAGTAATAGGTAAGCACTTTGGGCTTTTTAAAGAGCATTTACTCTAAGTAGCCCTGTTAATTAGTATTAATTAGCAGCTAGTAGTTTCTGTTGCCTCCTAATTGGTGGTTTGCAAGTCAAGAAGTTAAGGTGGAGAGAGAGGGAAAGGTAAAGGTGAGAGGAGAGAGGGGCTTCTCGTTTTCTAGAATGAGCAATTAGTAATCATTCACTGGAAGGCAGGGGTGCTTTCAAGGTGGAAAAATTCCCCTGAGCAGTCATCCGTGGCTGGGTCCACTCCCTATTACGCTTGATGCAAACACACACCCAGCTTTCCTGTGGCTCCAGGCCAACAGCCCTTTCTCTCCACCCCTCACTGAGTCCTGGGCCAATGACACTTTACAAACCCCTTTCAGAGGCATTGCCCGCTTGCCCAAGCTTGTTCCGGCATGTTCCCTTTCATCTACGGCCTTGCTAAAGAACACTGTGAAGGCAGAAGTTGCCAGATCTTTGGGAGTGTCCCGGGTTTCTGGCCCCTGGGGAGAGGAAGAATGCCAGCTTGGAGAACCGGCTCCAGTCAGATGGCAGGGGAGAGAGTTGGTTTCTAGAAGGTCACCAAAATGTTAGCCCCTGAACTTTGGGATCACTGAGACTTGGGTCCAAGTTCCAGCTCCTCTGCTGCTCTCTTGGTGACCTTGGGCTCATTATATGTCACCCCCCACCCCCAGCCTGTTTTCTCACACTGTTAGTAAGAGAAGCTTTTCCATATAGAGTTCTTTCAAGACTAAATGAAATCATGTATGCTAAGTGCTTAGCACTTTGCCCAGCATATAGGAAGTGCTCATTAAATGGCATGATTATAAATAAATATTGGAGTAATTAGATGAAAGTTAAACCCTAATGAGGTCTTCAGCACAAGCTGAAATCTGAAGCTAGACCCCTCAGCACCTGCCACCAGAGCTGATTCCCCTGGCACCTCAACATAGCTGGCTTTGATAGACATTATCTAGCTCCTCACGGGAGCCTAGAATGAATGAGCAGGTAGTCTATCACAACATCTTTCTTTCTTTAATGTTTTTATTTTTTATTTTTGAAAGAGAGAGTGTGAGCGGAGGAGGGGCAGAGAGAGAGAGAGGGAGACACAGGATCTGAAGCAGACTCCAGGCTCCAAGCCGTCAGCCCAGAGCCCGACACAGGACTCGATCTCATGAACCATGAGATCATGACCTGAGCCGAAGTCGGACGCTTAACCGATTGAGCCACCCAGGTGCCCCAGTCTGTCACAACATCTTAAACAACTCTGTGGATTATGGAAGGAACCTCAAAACAGCCAGCGGGCATCTCTTGGTCTGTTTCTAGGCCTAGGAGGGTTTTCTGACCTCAGCTTGTTCAAGACTCATGTGTTAGGGGTATCTTGGCAGTCCCTAGTCAGCCCTTGGCCCTAGGTACCCAATCATCTGGAGATTTTCTCTCGCAGCGTCTGCTATTTGCGCTGGTAAGGGCGACATTCAGTTGCAAGTAACAATGACCCAAAGTCACAGTGGCCTGAACAAGATAGTTTATCTGTTTCGTACACAGAGGTCCAGAAGAAGGAAGTCAGGGCTGGTGTGGTGGCCCTGTTCTACTTTGTCCTCAGCTCTCCAGGTTCCTCTCACCTTGTCACTCAGCTGTGTGTAGTCTCCATTTCCAAGGTCACTTCTCAGTTCAAGATGGCTGCTCCGGCAGCGCCGGCTTTCATGTCCACATTCCGGCCAGCAGAATGTAGAAGGTGGGGCAAAGGACACATGTCGGCTGTGTTTGAAGGAAGGCTCCTAGAAATTCGTCACATGGCTTTCCCCATTACATCTCCGTGGAGTCATGGCGCCTCAGCAGGCTTCCAGGAAGCATGGAGGGGAGTTAGCTGGCCAGCAAGAGAAGGAAAACCGAAGGAGGTACACAGAGTAGAAGTGAGAGGTGTGTGCCTCTGTTTGGAAAGTCTCATTCGGGTTTCAGTTATCCAGACTTGATTTGTAACTTGCAACCAAAGAACAACTGAGACGCTCACTGTCAAGATTGTTTCCCTCACCCTGCGCTAATGGAGTTGCCCACAACAATGCCTAAGGATCAGGTGGAGGTGGTTGTTTAAAATATTGATTTTTTTTCTGGGGCGCCTGGGTGGCTCAGTTAGTTGAGCGTCCGACTTTGGCTCAGGTCATGATCTCGCGGTCTGTGGGTTCAAGCCCCGCGACGGGTTCTGTGCTGACAGATGGGAGCCTGGAGCCTGCTTCGGATTCTGTGTCTCCCTCTCTCTCTGCCTCTCCCCCACTCAAGCTCTGTCTATCTGTCTCTCCCTCTCAAAGATAAATAAACATTTAAAAGAATTTTTAAATACAATAAAATATTGATTTCTTTTCTGATCCTATCCCCCAGAAATTCCAGTTCCTTGAATCTACAGGAGGGTCAGGGTTGTGTTTTTTGTAAACCTCTCTCCCACCCCCACCCACCCTGTTGTGGGACGTCCGAGGACTACCGTGGGAGAAAATGCTGGTTTACAACCAATTCAGAGGGTTATCAGATACTATTATTATAATAACAAACAGCCCCAAATTTGCTGGCTTAATATGACAACCATTTTATGTTGCTCACAGATTTTGTGGGTCAGGAGTTTGAAAGGTTATAACAAGAATAGCTTGTCTCTGCTCCATAATGTCTGGGCCCTCAACTGGGAAGACTCGAAGGCTGGGGACTGGAATCATCTCGAAGCTCCTTCAGTCACATGTTTAGGGGTTGCTGTTGGCTGTTGGGTGTTGGCTGGGACCTCAGCGGGGCCTCCTGAATGGAACACAAACACGTGGGCCTGCCCATGTGTCTTGGGCTTGCTCACAGCGTGATTACTGGGTTCCAAGAGGGAGAGGCCCGAGAGAGAACCCTGAGGGCATTCGCTGGCCTTTAGTGACCAAGCCTCAGAAGTCAGACAGTGTTCCTCCTGCTGTAGTCAGAGGTCAACAGATTCAAGTTGGGGGGGGGGGGCATATATCCCACTCCATCTTACACAGTAGAAGGGCATGTGAGACCAATGGGTGCTCTTGTGGCAGCCATCTTGGGAAAATATCATCTTCCGCATAATGGAAACCTGTGCGTCTGCAGAGGGGCAGTCAGGCTTCTGGTCCCCGCTCGGCCAGAACCAGACCTTCCCCTCCTCCTAACTGTTTTATGTGAGGGCCTTTTTCATCAGCCAAGATTCTGCCTTTCCCCCACGTCCTGACCTGGAAGAAGCCTGAGGCGGGGGGAATGAGCCAACGTTTTCACATAAGGCTCCACCTGGCACTCCGGCCTCCAAGAGGCACCTGCGGCGTCCCGGTCCCACGGTACCCTTGGCCTTGCAGAATCTTGTGCGGGACTGTCAGGAGTG